GTGGCATCCGTCACTGTCAGCAATAAAAAGAGGGGGAAATAGGCGCTTGGCCTTCTACAGGGAAAAGCTTCACGCATTAATGCAGACGTCGTTTTGCATAGGAGAAAAACAAGGAACAGCTGCAGAGGGAGAAAATCACCACTTGTTCCTGGAAGGAAATAAAATGGGTAATTTCCGTATATAGAGAACCTGCAACAAGTATAGAGTATCTAGGTTAACATAGTCGAAAAATTACCTAAATTGGAATCACTAATTCCTGCTGGCAACAGCAAAATATTTCTTCTACAAAAATATATCAATGAAAAATTTGCATCATCGAAATTCCTAAAAATTGAATCGAATTCGAATTCTAAGAAAGCAGCAGTGCCGATGAGTCAGCATTCTTCACCAGAAAGGTGAGCACCTAAATCTTCAGAGGGATTCTGTGATGAGTTTGAACCTCAATGTTCACTATCTTGTCCGACTTTTTTATAAACACTTTCGGATGCTTGCGTTAAAAAATAAAGCCAATTTTCTTCATTTTTAAATTTACCACTCCCCCGCTGGCGTGGTTTGGGAATGGATAAGACAGGAAGTGCTACGTCTTCCTCAATCCCTCGATTACAGGATTTTAGACTCTTGATTTGGTATTGTTTTAAGGATGGCTTGACAGCAACCAAATGTCAAATGAAGTTGATAATGGTTTTTTAGCAACGAAGAAGCGTAGCCAAGAATGTTTCTAAAAAATGGTTCTGGCGACCCCGACAGGATCAGGATGACTGGAAACTTGGTCTTATCTATATCCGACTGAAGTTCGCATGAGATTTAGGAACTTTGTACACATGTTATTATCAGCGGATGACTCAATATGCATTATTGTTTATGCTTTGACATATACAGTACTGTACAGTAATTTGCTTGCTCATCGATGAGGGTATTTTTGAAGGATTGCGCTAGAAAATAATTTTTTGTGAGAAAAACGACGCAATTTCTTGGGGGTTTACTTCGATGTCTGTTATATTGTCTCCAGAGGGGCGCATCTTGTACCACGAAGCTGAAATCATAACTAGATTCAACAATTCAGCTATCAGTTGCCACGGCTGTTTTTCTTCTTGGCATGACGATTTTGAAAATCCCTGTAATGAATCACCTCAATTTTTGATGGAGATCCACTGAATGTTGACGGGCAGGATATTTAAACACCTCTGAATGAGCTCAACTATTTTATGCGGAGATAGAAATCAAGCTTTTAAAAATAATTTAAAACCATGCATCGTTAGTGCTGTATCCCTGATTTTTTTAGATACTTGCAAACGAGAAACAAGTAATCTTGCGAGCCGATTTTGGCTGAAATTCCATGCCATGTAATTTCTTCTGAATATATTCAAAATGTCTGTTTTACAAGTATTACGACAGACTCTCAAAACGTGTGAAACCTTTTGTTAGAAGGTTGCGTTATCGTTTAATGTCGAAATGAAACCGTTTGCCATTTTTTCTTGCAATGTTTTGCAAACCATTAAATTTTTATTTCGAGAACATTTCGTAAAGTGTGAGATTTAAATTCTGCTCGTGAAAAGTTTTTGTCATTCGGGAAGAATTTTTGAAGATTGAAGTTTTTGCTTGAAGTTGATGCGACACCTATCACTTATTGTTGGTCAAATAAAGCGTGGAATAAAAATCGTGTGACATACGTGTCGGTAATTGAAAACAATTTTGAAAAGAAGATTATCGATTAATTGAATCTCGACAAACTTTCTGTTCAGTTGAACACTATGCTTGGAATGCGTATATCTATAAATAAATTTGTTTATTGCGACGAAGTGGTTTATTTGGAATTAAAATATATTTTTTATGTTTGTCTCAATTTCTAGAACAACCGTTATATTCTTGTACTGTATTGCTGATCCCATAATCATGAGGTGGACCTCGAATTTCTGACATGGGAAGGCACATACGACATCCTCCGTCGAACCAGTAATGATTCGTTTGTGTCGTGACGTATTGGTGAGCAGATTTATTGTACACCTGGACACCCTACAACAATCTTGTCGGCAACGATTTTCTCTGTAAGTACAGTTCATTATATCAATTTTTTCCATAGGGTTCCCTTCTCATTTTATATGGGTTCTCTACAACAAAATTATCTCTACGACGATTTTTTTTCTGGTCTGAATTTCTTTTTTAGGGAGAGAGTCCACCCCTATACTGCATCCGCGATTTTGGCTGCGTGAGAATAATTTTATATTCAGAGGCACTGAGACTGTTGTGAGTGTCATCTAGTTCTAAGAAGATACTTTTTGTTGAAATATGTTCGTAAAAGCTGTGTAGGGAATATTTTGTTAGAAAGGTGAAAAAAGTCGATCTGAAACATTTTTGGAATTGACAAAGATTCATTGAGTCCTGATTCCTGCTGGAATCGATTGAAGCTCGTGATCTCATGGATCAAGTTGTAGGCAAATAACTCAAAGCAAGTACAGTATTTGAGAGAACCATGTCAGAAATAGAATCTACTGTAAACGCCGTGCTTACGGAAATTTTAGCTGAATAAACTGAAAGTCGGCAATTGAAAAGCTTTTACGAAACTCTGTGTTGAAAAGTGCAATTACGTGCTGCACTTTCAAAAGATTAAAATTCTTTTGATAAATTACCGTATTTTTTATTTCAGACTTTTTATTCCTGCATAGATATTGATGAGAGGTACTTTTGAATGATGGGTTCAGTGGGCGGCTTGAAGTTCAAAATGCTCTTTCGAACAAATAAGTAGTTTTATGTGAATCTTATTAATATATTGCAGCAATTAATGCAGTATAATATTTTATCATCGGTGAATTGTTGCAATATATGCCGTGATCGTCAACTTCTTTCACTTATCGAGATACCCGGCATTTATCACATCAAACTTTTTGAAAATCGTGATCTTGAAGCGCATGCGTGCATTCAGATTCGCATGAATTAAGGCAGCTGGAGTGGATAAAAAAATAAAAATTTCAAGAAGAATTTACGTGAGCAAAACATCGCGGAGGAAGTTTTTAAAACCAAGTGCTGACATGGTTTTCTGAAATACACGTCGTTTTGTAAAAGCTGGTTTTTTTTATCACTTCGGCAGGGAAGAAAGTTGGTAGAAAGTACTGGATTTCGAATTACCAGAAAACAAGAAAAGCTGTAGAGTAAGCGCATCAGAGAGCAATTTTTTTCTCATGACAAATCACCCCTATTACGCATGAATCCAGTACAAACGTGTCACGGATTCAATTCGAAAGTTTTTCAGGAGTCCTCAGTCTGTCACCGAAACTCAAGACAACCTTGGTATAGTTGAATTCGACTCTCGCTTACTTGTACTTAGTAGTATCTCACATATCATTCATCATGAAGCTGCTTTTTCTGTCTGTGAGTATTCGTAAAAGTGAAAGGTATACGTCGGAAATTTCCCAACCAAATCTTTAATTTCATTTACAGGTTTTCCTTATTGGCTGCGTCGTGTCATCCCACGGGAGAGCTTCATCACCCATCGAGCCTCAGTAAGTACATCCTACTAAATCTGAATCGAATGTAAATGTTGAAAATTTCCGAAAGCAAAGCATAACCTTGTTTTTGTTTAGCATTGTGGCGGTACAGCAGGGTTCGTCAGCCCAATTGCATGATCGACAGTCTTCGAAAGTAGGAAAGCCATCGAATAATGCTGGGGTTGAAGCTGACAAAGAATTTCCACCGATTGCTCCCATTTCGAACCGTGGATTGCATGGCCGCAATCGTCGTCACCGAACGAAGCGTCAAGCTGGAAGTTCCAGCACAGCAGGTATTGGCGAATCTGTAATGGCGCTTATTGCCAATCTGATGCGGGAAAGCGGCTTCGGCGGAGGCTCAGGAGTGAATGGAGGTATTGTATATGTTGAGTCATGGTTATTATTTTTTATTTCTGTCTCTCAGATTAATTACAGACTCTTTGTTATGTCCTCAAAAACGTTGGATTCCTACGAGGTTTCCAATTCAATAAATACGTCTTCAAATTTCGCAGAAGTTGAATTCAGCAGTGGCTTTGGTCGCACGATGAACAGCGTGTTCACCATCGTGAGGAACCAAGCAAATGCACTTCTGCATCTCCTCAGAGCTCTAGCTCCACTTGGTGAGAATTATCATTGGCACAATAATAAAACACAGTTGTGGCCATCGTCATTCATTTTCTTCCCTCATTATCTGTATTTACGGTATATGCTGGTCGAACTATAATTTTGGACAGCCGATTGAGAGGAAAAATTGGCACAGGCCGCAGAAAAGAAAAACGAAATCGTCGAGCAGTAGATGCTTTTATCGCACACGGTTAAAAATATTTTTGAATTTGGTTTGGGGATATATCATAGAATTTCAGAAGATAAAAAAGGTTAAGATGACTCGATAACGCAGCCGTATTATCATGCAATTCTGAAATTATAGCATAAAATATCAGGAAATAAATTGCGAACAATTTTCTGCGATCATTTCCTATACATTGTAAGTATCATCAATTTTTCATTCTTTCAGCCTATATATATATTATTGAATATTTTAATCATCCAATAAAGTTTTTCAGTTTCCCAAAATTGTTTTTTCTTTTCATTTTTTGGAGGAAGTGCGGCGTGTTTACAATGATGGCGTGAAAGCGGGTCAGTATTTAAAAAATATGACTACTCTTTTAAATGTTTTTATTTCATTTGGCACAGACGGTATTTTGGCTGATAACAATTGGCGTCTAGCCCAAACCGCAATGATGCGTCAGGAAACTGCAAGCACTTTCAACATCATCATGGATTTGCTGCTGCAAGTTGTCCGTGGAATCATGAGGTTGTTCGGTGGAATGGCTTATTGAGAGGAAAATATAATTGCCTGCGATACCAATGAAACGTAAAAAAAGAGCCAAGATTACGACGAAACGCTTTGACCAAGGACAAACTTGTATAAATTTAACTTTCTGCTATTCCCACACGAGTGTCTGTATCATGAGAGGGTCCTAAAATTTCCGTGTGCTGTTCTTTCGTTTTTGTTTTGAAGAGTGTTTTTCGTTGTTGTCAAAACCGCGATCACGGGGAATGCATGAGATCAGCAAGTAATACTGACAGCAAGAGAAGTTGGCGATCAAATTTATTCATCGTGGTGAAAGGATATAAACAAATTGTGCAAAGATGGAAAAATTTGAACATTCTTCTAGGTTTGTTTAGCTGACGTGTCGTGCTCCATTTGGATCTACAGTACTGCTATAGCTACGACGCACGAAGTGACTTATTTTCTTTGAGGGAATGTTCCCGAAGGTGCGTCGCATATATGACGGATCTTTCATACTTTTTAAATGGAAAATCAGAAGAAATTTTTAACACAAGAGCCAGACAGTTTTAAAAATCTGTAACTAGGATTTTCATGATTTAAGTCTCCAAGCAGAACGTCAGGTTTTATCTATAGCCACACCAATGATTTTTAAATTGGAAGCAGTCGACAAACAGAATTTAAAAGTAATCCTTTAACGAATAAAAAAAAGACTTGATTGCTTCGTATGAGATATTTTTAGTTTATTTAAGATAAAAAATTGCGTATAAATGGAAACTAACTTACTTATGTTCAAAATGTTGAGACCTGAGTCATCGCAAGTACCGTACAGCATGCGTAATGTATTCATTTCTCTTCCCAAAAATGTTGGTTGGACCTAAAATCATTCAATTTTGAAACGTATTCCTGGGAATTAATGAGCTCAGTTTTCGCACAGCCTCCGGCCGCAGTTTTATTTCACACCAGGTAAAGTTCGCTAAATTCCATGATTTCTATACTGCACTGTACAATGATTTTTTTCGAACAAAAACGTAGATTACATATGTATTGTACAGGTTAGTATATTGCCTGTAAATATGTGCGATGATTAAATTTACTGGGCTTTGTTAAATTAAACTTCGACATTTAGTTTCAACATTGAAATATAAAGACAGAAGCAAAAATAATCGCAGCACACTGTGCTCGCGAGAAAAAAATCGTATTTACCCTCCGATTCAACAAAACCTCTGATTTTGCGTCCCGAAAAGAAGGAGTGCAAAAGTTCGTTCCTACCTATTTATACTGTATTGTATTGAAAAGCATCTTAGTGTAGATCAGTGTTCCCCAACCCGTGATCCGCACTGGCACCGATCCGCAGAAGTTTTTTGCCGGTCCGCCGGAAAATTTCGTCAACTTAATACGTTGATCAAAAGTAGTAATGAAATCTGTTATGATTATCCAAGGTTTTGGAAATACAGTAGCAGTTGAAATCAACAATGAATTATTAAAGTTGGCTTTTCTACCAACAGCACTTCAGACAAATTTTCACCCTCTGAAATAAAATACAGTATTATAATTTTTCTTTCTGATAAACCTTTCTTCAAGCCCACCTTCATAATTTTTGATGACATTCAGCTAATCGTGCTTAACTAAATTTTTGCAACATAGCAGAAACTCTTAAAAACCTGCCCACCCTGTCTTTCAAGAAAAACTTTTGCATGTCTGCAAAAATGTTATGAAACTTTGCTGGTCCGCAGAAATTTCTTCGGGAATTTGCTGGTCCACCGGCCAAAAAGGTTGGAGAAAACTGGTGTAGATTGATTCCTGCATGCTCTACACCCCTCGTCTCCCACTCCATCTTTTCTCAAGTTTGTTTTGAAAAGTGCAAAGGAAAAATAAACGCAGGTATACTTTCGGACGTTGGTGGGGATTAAACTGATCCATGCAACAAGGATTAAATCGATAAACCTGGAATCCGTGTTCCGGGCCTAATTAGCCTGCGTAGCAACAGCAGCGCAGTCGGAGATTCAGTCGGCGAAAGGAGTTATTGTCCCGCGGGCGTGGACCCGAAAGATCTGGTTCGTTGAACGATAAGCAGTCCCGGAGTATGGCGCCCCGGCGTCATGTAGAATCAATTGTCCGTCTCGACCCGGGTCGGACGGGCTTGAAACCCGGGTTACTGGCGGTTCAATTCGGGTACTTGATTTCCATCTTCCGCTCGATATGCTCGTCAACTCATGACTTTCTACGCTCAAGTTGTCAACTCGTCAATAAACTCCGCGAAAGGCCGACGACGATCGATTCGCCGGTCATCAGATAGGTTATAATGAACGAAAGAAGTAAAATGTGAATTTCAATTAACCAAGAAGTGATCATGCCAGCAATTAGTTACGAATTGCGCTGATATTATATGCGGGGACTTAATAAGTTCGTAAGAATGATGATTTAAACCTCTTTACGCAATTATCGTTTGCATCGGGATTTTTCGACAGCATCAAGCAAAAAAATTATTCTTCCTATTCGTAACTATGCAAATTTTAAGTAACGTACCTTTTAAAAATAAGTTCCAGGCTGCAGGTATCATTCCAGTCAAAATCAGCGAAATTAGAATCTCGTCACAACGAATCTCATTGAAATAAATTGTTTGTTGCAACAAATTGTTTCTTACAACAAATCGTTTTTTCAGGTCCCTGCCCTGTATGCATAATCATACAGTATTTCAATTGCTATACAAACAGCGTGTCTTTATAAAGAACCATTTTCCAGGTTCCAAAAAAGCTTCGTTGTAACGATATTTTACTGTATAATAAAGAAACAATTTAATTTTCCCGGTAATCCGATAAGTTCAGCATTTTAATGCACCTTATTGCAGAATTTTCCGCAATAAAAATTAGATGAACTAATAGATGAACTGATACATGTTCTAACTGAATTTGATAGTGCGGATAATTTTAAGCATAGTATTTCTTGCATTTGATATTTTTCAACTATGTCTCCTGATACTTGCTGTATACATCGTCAGACATTATTTATTAGCTTTAAAAATATTTTCCGTTCACTGCACAATCACAGCAGTACAGTATTTGAATACGAGTCTATGCCTGCTGGCACGCATACGTAATGCAAAATGGATTCCATCTCTCCATGGCAACATTGTTGCTACGGTGATACGAATTAGTATTTATACAAATTAAGCCGGTACTTGAATCGTCTTGTCCTTCGAATGCATGTCAAGAATGATGAATCGTTCTTTTAAGCTCATGCGATAACCACTGGACTCCTTGCCACTGTACTGTACTCTCTCAGACGATGGATTTTGAATACTTGAAGAAATTTGAAAAATGAAGAAAAACGAAAATCTATCACATTGAAATCATAGATGCGACAAGTTTTTTGAAGTTATCTGAATTATGATTGGCAGGTATTTACCTGTACAATTAATTTTTTGGTTTGATGCATTATAAACTTGAGTTTTCAGCATAAGACGTGCTGATAGCATAGGTTTGTATTAGGACCTATATTTTTCTTTTACCAAGCTTGACGAAATCTTAAAATTCAAGGGATTCGACGCTTGGAATGGAACAAAAAATTTTCTTTCACATTTTTGAAGCAATTTTTTCACAGGTAAAATCAGCTCTCGGGAAATTGCAAAAATCGTTTACGAAATATCCTGTTTCAGCTTCTAAAATGTTCGAAATCATTATATATCACTGTTATTGTAAACTCGGCGATGCAAAAGTGAAGCCAAATTTGGAGAATTTTCGGTGCTGTTCGGAGCAAATTTGTCGTCGTCACTCTACCACACAAACCTGGAGATATGCATTTAATTTCTGCTTTAAAAACGAAAGATGCTTTGCTACTGTTGAGTAATGATACTAAGACAGGCCTAAAACATCGTTTTAAATTTTCAAACACGTTTTGAAGAATTGATCCAATTCGCGATTTTTTTGAAGCACCTATATAGAGAGAAGATCGAGACGCATCCCGCCTCCTTAATGGCAGAAAAATTAAAGGTATCTTCTCAGTTTTTTCAGTCTCAATTTGAACGGCCTGCATGAAAATATGATATACAATTTAATGAGCCCTTAATTCAAGAAATAAAAATTTGGAATAAGACATTTTTCGAAATCCGTTTTGGATAACAGAGTGAGTTAGGGGTGAAGTTCGAGAACTTTTGAGGATAATGAAAACTCGCGAGGAATACAAACTTGATTTATATTTAAAAATTAATATACGAAATAATATAAAATAATGTATCGTATGAAAAATATTTCATTTAATCTCGCAAAAATTAATCCAAAATGGGACCAGAAAAACATGCCAAGAAAGGAAAATTGATACGCTTACTCAAAAAACAGCAGGGACCGATAATTTTTTGAAAGCAATAATTCGATTTATCGCGGCTCTTTTATTTTGAGGATCGGGTCATAACAAAATTTGGTAAGGGTATTTGAAGTGAAGAAAAAATTTAGGTCCTTGAGATTATTAGCAAGGACGGAAACTTTTCTAAATTCTTATTGATCAAAGGGAAATTTACCGTGAACAAATATTCGAAGAGAGGAACCTCGTCGATCTCAATAAGAAAGATAGCCAGTCAAGATGCATCTTTAAACTTCGAAGCCGTCATTAGGCATTCGGACTCCACAGCCAGCAACCGGCTTGTAATTCACGTGATCATCACGGGATCGTTCAGGATGATGCTCCCACAATAAATTTAACCCGGCAACGACAATAACCGCGTCGTCTGTAGAGTCAGACACGTACGAGGCCCTTATAATTTTATTCACTCTCTCCTTTTAACTCCAACTATGGAAACCTCGGTCTCAGCCAGCTAGTGCCGGCTAGCAACGGACTTTCCAGCAGACGTCCAGGCCTGGGCTGATCGGTATCCAGATTAAGTGGCTGCTGAATAAGTGCCGATGAGTTCGAGAGCTCCTATAAAACCCGGCCGAGTTCTGGTCTTCCTCAGTTGCCTTCGCACAGCTCCTCAAAGAGAAGCCCCCGGTAAAAAAGCCGCTGTACGCTCTTGTGTCTCGTGCAATCTTCGTCGTTGTTCCACAGTCGTCACCAGCATGAAAGTCCTCGTAAGTTTTACTGATCACATTCTTCTAATTTACATCCAGATAACTAACGAAACGATCGTTCTCTTTGCCATTTTTCTGAGTATAGTTGGCGATTGCTTGCTTGGTCCTCGCGGCTGAAGCCCACAAGTTCTTCCCGAAGTACTCCTTCGACGACAACGACAAGTGAGGATATAATTTATCAAACATTCCATAAGCTCCCGAACTGCACTTCGACTTATTAATAAATGTAGGGTTTTCAGTCGAAGATAATTACAAGAAATGGGTTTTTGTCAATATTATGAAATTAAATCCTCTGAGCTTCAAGTCCTCCCATCAAGCATAGAGTCAGAATGATCTGATGACGATGCAGTGTCCAAACCAATTTTTAGGATCGAAAAGATTGCTGAAGGAACTCTCCGTTACTTTGCTATAATTTGTATATGGTAAAGCTTAGACTTCATGTTCACCAATTTTCAATTATTTACTGTAATACTATTCGAAATTCTCGTCATTCGGTATTCCTGAAACAAAATTGAAAATACTTTGAGAACCACTATATTTTTCATTTTATGTGGCCCGCATTTTCAAAATCGTCGATATGAAGGTTGTAAACGAATCAAATATTCGGCAACTCTCTTAGACTGCGTGAAAATTCGTGAAAATGATTTTTACAAATCTTACCTTATCCGCGGAGCAATTTATGGGGTACACTTACAAATTGATATCTTGCTTTTCTCACATTAGAAGTACTGTACAGTACTACTGTATGGGTGAACGAACATTGGAAAAGCGTCCAGGATATGATTGAATAATTGGTGATGATTGAATCCAACTTTTCCTGTCTAAAAAAAAACTCTTTAATTTAGATTTCAAGAAAGTTTCAAAAGCAACTTCGATAACTATTTTTGATTGCATTTGCGGATATCAAGTACTATACAACCGTGATCACTTCGTTCCTTGCCTGTTTAAAAACCGCGAGGATATTGTCTTTTAAAAACTTTCCAGGTCGAAGTATGAGGAATTCATTCGCGACAACGAGGTGAACTTCGACTCGGACTTTGAGTACAAGAAGCCGTACAACTACTTCAGCAAGTATTTCTACCCGACGAGCAAGAGCACGCCTTACGTGTTGAAGGATCCCTACTATGACCCTACGACCAAGTACGACTTCACCACCTTCTCCAAGTACTTCGAGACACACCCGATCCTCTCGTCGGTGTCAAAGTACTTCCCGACGACGAAGACGATCGAGGCAAGCGGCTTCGACAATTACTACCCAGTCCCCAAGGAAATTTTTGACGTTGTCAAGACCAGCAAGGACCTGAAGGAGACCATCATTACTCTCCTGAAGTACTTCTACAACCTCCCTGATGATGTCAAGGCTACTGTTGCCGCCAAGTACGACTTCGTCAACGTTGTCAGGTTCTTGTTCCAGGTAAGCATCTCCAGTTAGGGTTTCTTGGCATTTTTACGCGACTATATGGCCAAAATGTTCAAAGAAATGCGCACTTGATTGTAGCCTATGTAGCCGAGATTTCAAAGAATAGGTCTCAGCATAACAATATTGCATATATCGAAGCTGCGGTACATAAAAATTTAAATCAGGCGAATGTAAAAATAAAATATTTAAGATTACAAGAAAAAAAAATCAGCAATACGAAAAGTTCCCAGTAGATGCTTTCCTGGTGTTTTGTTAGGTTAAACTGCTTTTCATTAATTTTTTGACCAAACTAGTGCACAATCTGAATACCCAAAAGTCTTCGGAATTTCATTAAGCACTTTTAACGAGTTATTTAGAAAAAATCGCAATAACCCCTTTCCGTTGACATTTTCAAATTTTCCTTCCGCAATAATTTACGATTTCTCCCCTGAAATGGCTGCTTAAATCAGGATAAGTTAATTCGTTAATACGAATTAACAATTAATTCGTATATGAGTATTAATTCGTTAATTAATTAATTAATTAATTAGTATATTAATTCGTTAATTCGCATATGAGGATTAATTAATTGCAAGCAGTGCATGTTATGGGAATCCAAGTGCGAGGAATATTCGTCAAAATTTTGCACTGTCGACCGAAAGACGAATACAGTACTAATACATATTTCAACCTAATAAAAACGTCTTTTAACGTGGAGCAGCAGTACTTTAATACCAAATAATTTAAAGGCTTAGATGACAATACATTTGAAGGAAAAGCGAAATGTGCAAAAATTATGAAACGTCGAGGTATTACTTGTACAATGCGTCATTAATATGATTCGTGATCCACGTGGTTTTCAGGTTTACTTCGACATCCCGAACGTGCCACACCCGTTGACGACTTACTACGATATCCCCAGCAAGGTTTACGATGAGCTGAAGACCTACGATCTCAGGAAAATTATTTTCAACATCATGACCAAGTTCTTCGAATTCTCGCCCTACGAACGCGAGTTTTTCTCAGAGAAGTTCTACGATGTGCCAGCCGTCGTCCGCTCCCTCATCAAGGTCTACTACGGAGTCCCGCAGTTTGGCAAATACGACGTCGAGTATTTCTACTACGACACTGATTTCCAGAAGTATGTTGCTGAGTTCTTCGGCTACAAGTTCGACTTTGTCAAGTTCTTCGAGGCCTTGTTTGAGAAGCGCTTCACTCTGACCGAAAATGAGAAGGAATTCTTCGATAGGTAAAAAAAACCCAGCCACATTATTCGCATTTTATCGTATTCACGAAACTATACGCGAGCAAAAAGCCGCATCCCCACGCCAGAAGGCATTTTCATTGAAGATAAAATTGCATAAGCCGCGAAACAATTTAAAGTTGTATAGAGGAAAAATTGGATTAAATTAAATATCGAGAGCACCCGGCAATGTTTCAAGAAATGGAGTTATCTCATAGTTTTCAAACTTACCATGAGATAATTTTTCCTTTCATTTCACTGGACAGGGAGTTCTACGATAATGGAGAGAGAATAATGGTTTATTTTGAGAATGGAAAGCAGTAATTAACAGAGTTTATAGACTGTAGAGAATAATTCCTTTTTTCTTTTAAACTTTCTGTATGGTGTTGGCATAAAATGATTTTTTGTATGATTTAGGCGGGGCATATGAAACTGCAGTTTTGCCTACATCATACTTGAATATTTCGACTATATATACAGTACAAGCCACATCAGATTTTTTGGCACGCGTATTATTGGCTAATAATGCTGTAGTTCGGTTTATTCTCGAATGAATAGATTACAGTACTGCATTACGCGAAGCAGGTTCAGGTATATTCATTATTGATTTATTTTACTGTATGCAGGTTCTTCAACTTCGAATCCTTCTTCAAGTTTTTCGTGAAGACCTATTCCTACTACTCGAACACGTTCGGTTCGGATAAGTACGACTACTTCAAGTACTTCGGCTTCAACAAGTTCAGCAAGCCCTACTACCCGTACAACCGCTACGACAGTGAGGAATACCCCGAGGAGTTCTTCGAACGCCCGGACTTCTACCGTTACGGCAACCGTGGTTACGACAACTCATACCCGGAAAACAGCTTCTACCCATTCGCGAAGAAGTACACTACTTCGTACTACCCGGAGTACAATACCTACCCGTTTGAGAGCAAGTACTCCCCCTTCAACAAGTACGAGAAGAACTACTACTACCCAGGGTACAACAAGTTCTTCGGCAAGAAGTTCGGTTCCTTCGAGAAGTACGGTCAGTTCGAGAAATACGGACCATTCGAGAAATACGGACCCTTCGAGAAATACGGACCCTTCGAGAAATACGGACCCTTTGAGAAATACGGGCCATTCGAGAAATACGGTTCATTCGAGAAATACGGCCCATTCGAGAAATACGGACAGCAGTTCGAGAAGTACGGACCCTTCGAAAAATATTTTGAGAACAAGTACTAAGCATGGCAACACTGCGATCCAGGAGGCAAAAAAGGATGAGATGACGAACGCGGCTTCTACTGGCAAAATCTCTATTGCAGAACTTCTTCCATTGACGAGCAGCACAAAAAGAACACAAGTGGATGAGGAGGGATCACGAGAATGACATGCATTATGATGTTGGAGATGTGATAGAACATGAGTTGTTGACATTTAAAGTTGTTCGGGTCGCAGAAGAAACCCAAAGGCGAACATTTGCTAGCCCCGTAGGTTTAACAGTTCACAATTTCTCTGCCTGTGTGAATTTCGCCGACTACTTGTGTTCAAGATATGAGCAATAAAGCATACTGAAAAATGATTGCATCACAATTTTTCCCTGAGAAGAAAAAGTTACGTGACATCTCTGGAAGAGAACGTGTCAATTTTATGACAAGTACTCAGAAAATACACTGTATTGTATAAGTACAGTAAATGGCACGGTCGCATCACATGAGTCACTCACACTCGGCGAATCCAGGCGGGAAAGTGAACAGAGGGCTCACCTTCGCGCCTGAACAGAGGGCAAACTGCTGAATATTGCATCTAGAGCTCTGTGATGTAGCTAGGACGCTGTGCAGACTCCGGGAAAAGAATTGGATATCAGAACGTGCAGCCACCTGCGAAGGTCGGGGCTTTCGTTAGATTTTGCGATGTGACTTGATGATTGGGAGACTCTCGTGACGGGATAGAGTTACGTGGTCAATGAATGCCGTACAGTACCTTATTCTTAATGTGATTCTGATACTACGTGATTAGTCTTTCTTCAGTGCAGAACGTCTTATTGTGTTCCCAGGATCAAACTAAGCTCCGAATACGTATGTGAGGAAGTTCAGTGCGTGAATTGTGGACGTGGTGCCCGAATAGAAGAACGTTGAGCGCCCGCAACGCTTAAATTGACTTGTACGTGAGAAATCCTTGTTGTGATTTCACAAGTCTTCTGGCAATTCCGGGATGATATCAACGCCGAAAAGCATTTGGACATCATGGGAGAAAACGGGCAAAGAAGAATTGTATGTGGATGTTGGTCGTTTGTCTGATCATGCTTCCTAATCGCGTGTACCTCTTGTCATTTTCAGCATCAAACTTTGTCTGATGTTGGATCCCTCGAAAGACGAAAGTGGGACGGACGGTAAGCTGAGTTTTTTCTGGAGAATACTTCAGCATTTTGATGATATTATTTTAAAATTAGGGTTCCCTCGTCTCATGGCTGAGCTAATCGATAAAATCGCCTTGAAATTGGTGGATTCGAAATCAGCGGCTTCGGTGGTGCGGAAGATCATAGTAAGTTTATTACTTCGAGGGAGAGGGAGTTCCGCGATTCAGTTACTCACGCTTTTCCTTCGCAGTCGCGAAATCCATCTCTACTTTATCGGTTTTTGGATGTTATAAACGCCTTGGATTCTTTGCATCCAGCCATGAGTGATGGAACATTCGATGATACCCGTACCGCCGTTGTTAATCTCCTGATGGAGGTTTTGCCGGTAGGTTTTCTTCTCATGAGTTGCGGGCGACCATCACAAGGTGTTTGTTCGTTTTGGTTTGTAGGTGCTAGCTGGTTGTGAAAATGTTCTTCGGATTCGACTGGAACCTCCTCTGCTTAAGGATATAGGTTTTGTAAAGAACATTCAGCTGTTCAACACGAAGTTTGTTCGTGTTAAGACTAAGCTATAGTGAGTTTTTTCTTTCACCTTCAATTACATTGATTTGAAGAGTGAGATATCGTAAAAAAATTTATGTTGCTCTTCACCAGTTACAAGCAACAGAAGTACAATCTGCTTCGAGAAGAATCCGAAGGATTTTCGAAACTGGTCACCCATCTGACGCAAGATTTGAATGGAACCTCGACCGAAGACCTGATCGAAGTGATAAGAGGGTTGATAGGTCATTTCAATTTGGATCCGAATCGCGTCATGCAATTATTACTAAATGTCCTTGAAGCACGAAGTGGAGAAGCCAACGTCGTTGGGTTATTCCTGGAAGTTATTCGAGCTTTTTCCGACTCGGACAAGACTGTTCTCGTGGAAATGTGTGGAGCTGCGCTCAAGTCAAGCATGGATCCATCTCCAGATGTAGAAGCTGAGCAGACAGAAGATGAGCTGTATCTGAATGTGGACGATATCGAGATTGCCGCGGAATCTGGAGATAACTTGGACAAATCCGCGAATAAAAGTGGTGACGATTGTATTAGTTTAGAGAAGAAAGTTGCGTCTGATGCAGTCAGAACTGTCAAAGTTCCTCATTCAAATCGAGCGGTCGAAGATGAATTCCAACGATGTCGAATGATCGCCCTCTTGATTAGTGATGGAATGTTCGAAGTTGAGGATATTATTCCTTGGGTAAGAAAGGTTCACTATTTTTACTTTTTAGAATCTTGGATTTTGATGTACTGTACTGTAATGTGTACCGGAACGAACGCATTGATTCGCGTTTTCGATGTGTTAGTGCTTTATTCATCATGTTGGAGTACGTTATTGATTTATTTTTCTTAGCTAACACCGGAAGCGTCTGTATTGAAATCGCAAATGGAAGCAAGACTGAGCGATTCTCAAGAAGCACTGAGACGAGTGAATTTGGTAAGCCTGGCTGGTCCAGCCGTAGAGCATGAAACGCGTGATTGGGACGATGAAGAGCAGGTTTCTAGTCTCCTCAAAGAAGTAAGTGGGTTCAATTTCCACGTCATTTCGAAAATTTTCTGTATTATGTTTTTCTTAGTACACTGGCAACCAGTGGCTGTTACTGATTGAGTCATTGCTGAACCTTGGGGATTGGGTTCATGCTCATCAACTGATGAGCTGCAAGTCGCTCCCTGATTACTACGCCATTTCTCATCCGCCGATCGCGTTGTCTCTTTGTCGTCTACTTCTGAAAGTCATCAACCCGATTTATGAGAAGTAAATCATCCCAGCCAATCTTTTCTTGCTCTATTAAGATTCATGAATCAATTCATTCATTTTTCATGTACAGAATTTCGGAAAAGGAGGCGTGGGAGGTTCGCCAGCTGGAAGATGCATCCGGTCCATTTCGTCGACTGCCTGACTCCGTCGAGCGATTGTCGGATTTTGCCCCGGATGCATTTCAGATGATACTGACGCTTGGGCCGTACATTTACCATGACGCTACTCTCATGTGGCGCATTGTTAGGATTGCCTTCAGGTTCTTTGAGATGGTTAGTATTTGATTTTGATAGGTTTTTCGGGATCGTCCAATTTTTGCCTCCACTTTTTAAATGTCCCGTGGTGGGGTTTTGTCTAACATGCGTTCCCGTTTTCCTGATATTCAAGTAAAAACATTTTCGGAATTTTTCCCAATAGAACCGGAAAGACGGTGAAATGAACCTTGCGGAGCATTACGATACCGTGAGTGAAGCGGACGAAAAGACAAGAGACGTAGAATTCATTTGGTACCACGTGTTTGAAGAAAGCTTGTTGCCTGCTTTGTCTATGATCGATTGCGCCTCTGCTTTGGCCGAAGAGATGTGGAATGTGATCCGATTGTTCCACTTCCAAATCAGGTAAGGCGGTTGATGTTGAAAAAATCAAGTGGCGCATTTAGAAGATGAACTTCGATAGATTCCAGCTGTATGACAGTTGGAAAAATGAGGTGTACAAGAAACACCCTCTCTTGATGGAGAAATGTGCGAAGTTGACCAAGCGCGCAAAGGATATGATGAAAAGAATTTCCAAAGACACCGTTAAGCTCTCCGGGCGACATTTTGGAAAAATGTCTCATTCAAATCCTGCCGTTCTGTTCGATTATGTAAGTATTACCATCAACTTCACTTCATGATACTAGCAGTAGAATCTCACTGAGTTTTCTTTTCAGACTTTGAAGCAAATCGTCGTCTACGACAATCTAATCACACCCGTCGTTGAATCATTCAAATATTTGACGAGTCTTTCGTTGGACGTCCTAGGATACTGTTTGTTGGAACTTCTTGCTGACCCCAGGAAGAGTGCTGAAAAGCACATCGGGACTAGCATTGCATCTTGGATGCAGAATGCGTGTTCTTTTGCTGGCGCTGTTTACAAGAAATTTCCAATTGATCTTAGCCCTGTGCTTCACTTCGTCGCAAACCAGCTGGCCGAAAACAAAAGGTTTTATTTATTAATTTTTTTAAATTGGAAACTTGAAAATGATAATTTCTGGGCTTCACAGTTTTGATCTTCTGTTGCTGAAAGAAATCGTCGGAAAACTTGGCGGTATTGAAGCTCTTCAAGATAGGTCCATGAACATTAACCAGATACTTGCTTACGGGTGCGGTGGTGATGTGCTCCGCGTAGAGGTGAACGTTCTAATCCAAGTTTCTGAACAAGAAAATTGATAATTTTCTATACTTCCAGGTTTTGAATGCCTTTAGTCAAATCAGGAATACGAAGCGATCAATTCTGAGGCTTAAGGAAGCTTTGGTGAAGAGTAATTTGACTGTGCCATTGTTCCTGGCTGTGAGTCAGCAGCGTGTCTCGGTTATCTTCAGCGAAGAATCTTCGGACCATCCGACGCATAACAAGCTGGTGTCGCAACTGTATGATCAAATTCAGGAAATTCTGGGACAATTCGCTACATTCTTGACAGTGAATATGAGCGCGGAAGAATATTCCAAACTACTGCCTCCAATTGCACGAATTCTTGGACTGTCTGCCGAGGAAAATTTGCCGAATGGGGAGTTGCCATCAAGTCGATCTTCCTTGGTGGCTCCAGAAGTTGCTTTCTGTTTATACAGACCAAAGATTCAGTATCTCATCGCTGTGAGTACTCGAAGCAAAACATTCTCACCGAATTTCGAAGAATCTCTTTCATTATTGAAAAATAGAAGTATAAAATATTGTACATGTACTTGCATATTTCTCCTATTGCAAAAAACACCTGAACAATGAAACTGGAACTTCGTAAAAATTTGCAGTCAAAAGTTCAAGAGACCCATGGATCTGACAAGAAATTGAGTGAACGGTTTGCGGAAGCATATAAAGCCGTTCTGAAAGAAGTTGAGCAAGATGTGGAGAGAAGCATGTCGAAGAGTACGTTGGAGAGTTTTTCGCCTTCTTTTTTGGCTACCTTCTGGGCGTTATCGCTGTCGGACTTGAAAGTACCAACGGAGCAGTATGAAGCTGAAATAGGCAAGCTTGAAGCTCATATTGACGTCTTGAAGCAACAGAACAGCCGCGACATTGTGAGTCAACCGCGTAATTGAAAGACGCATGTTAAGTATCTTGGAATTTTGAACTATTTGGAACCATTTGCCTTCGCAAAAACTTCGAACTTTTTTATTTAACGATTTTCTTTCTTTCAGCCTGCGAAGATCCGCAAAGAAATCGATCGAGCTACTCACGTCATAGATTTGTTGAAGGACGAAAAGAAGAAGAGAAAAGAGCATGTTGATCGAATAATGGAAGTTCTTAAGAAGGTATGGCAATATTCCTGGGAATCCAAGTTCAAAATTCTTCAATCTCACATTTAAATTTCCGCAGGATCGATCGAAATTTTTCGAAATTTCGCCTTCAAGCTCGCATCAGCGCGTGATCAAACCGGAAATCCTGATGAAATTTCTTCAGACCTGTATTTTACCGAGGGTTTCTTATTCCGTGATTGACGCCATGTTCTGCGCGCAATTCATTTATACCTTACATGGCTTGAAAACCCCTGGATTTACCACCATGATCCTCGTCGACCGGGTTCGTCTTGTTTCCATAAATCTCCGTCGAGATCACTTTTTTTATTGTTAACTACTCTTTAGATTATGTGTGACGTTGGTCGAACGTTATCGACTCTCACTGAAGATGAAGCTACTCGTTACGGGAAATTTTTATTGGAAATACTCTCCATTACGTCGAAGTGGCACAAGAAGGAGAATTTCCCGCAGGTATTATGGTAGAAATTTTCAACCCATGAAGAATTCCTGCTATTTTTCGATTTCCTTCTCATTTTTTACGCTAGAAACCAGAGGAATATCCTGGATTTTTGACTAGGATTGTAAGAGATCCTCGGAATGAAGCGTATTTGAGTTACGAAGACTATCGTCATCTGTGCCACAAGTGGCATTATAAAATGGGCAAAGTACGTCGAAGTAGCGCGAATTGAATGTTCATGAACCGGAATCGAAAAATTGTGCTTTGTCACGTAGGGATTTATAACTGGGCTGGAGAGTACCGAATACGTACCGATCCGGAATTCACTTCTCATATTGATCGGAATTCTTCCCGAGTATCCGATCATGCAACCGTTGCACGCGCTAATCATGAAGCGGATCGATGCCGTTAGTATTCTTCAAATTCTTCCATTTGAAAAGTTTTCAAGTCACCGTATTTTTATAGGTTATTACGGTTGAGAGCAAAAACCGACGAGACTTGAGTGTTCTCGCTACGTCCTACAAATCTCATTTTGCAGCTCGTGTGAAAACGAGGCCGTTATTGCTTGAGCATGAATTTCACCTCAAGGTGATTTGAGCTATCTTTAAATTTTTGTGTATGTCCCATCAAGCATACTCGTATGATTATGTATATATTTAGAAAGAGAAGCCCAGCGAAATTACGAAGAATTCACTGAAGGCAAATGCTTCGGTGAGTTTGAAGAGTAATACGGAGAGAAATGATTCAGCCCGTAAGGAGACGAACATCCCTGCCGCCAGTACGGGTCATGTTCGTAAGTTTACTACGTTTCGATTGCGTGTCAAACGTCGTAACACTTCGTGGTTTTCTTATTTTTTTCTTAGCTCGACCATCAGTTGATTCTCCGAGCAGTGCCGAAGGAGATCGTAGTAAAGGGAGGAAAACTACACGATTGGAAGCCGGTCTGGGTTCCGCCTCTCCGCCACCAATCAAGAAAGAGAAGTTGGTTGCTCATTGTGATATTTTTTCCTATTCTACTGCTGCTTTTAGTTGTCCAAATTGACACATTTCTAATGCTGCCAAACCTCCCGCAATGTTTCCTTTTAGTTCGTAGTAATCGTTGACCTGCTTCAGAAGAAGTATGTAACTTGCTGCCCCTGGTCCCTCGGATGTAACTAAGCGTAGCTTAAGCTAGACCCTTAAGTGACTGGGCTTCTAGGAAGATCGTGAGTTTGAAATCGTTCAAAATTCTGGAAACCCGCTCCTCATTCCGATGATTTTTAATTGAAAAAAAATCATACTCCCCTGTGAGTTACAATCCTTTGTGAGGATGTGTTTTATAGGCAGGAGCCAAAATAAGCGATGAATTTTTCTGAATGAGATGTTCGTTTTTTTTTAGGAAGGAGAAGAAAGATAAGAAGAACGAAAAAGAGCATCACAAACTGAAGAAGGAAACGAAGCACAAGAAGGATGGGAAAGTAAATACGAGATATCTATGCTTTGTGCCAGTAGAAAAATTAACAGTCGATTTCAGTCTCCTAAGGAAGATAAGCAAGCGAAGGCAGATCGGAAGTTGGAAAAGAAAGCTGCGAGAGCAGCACTTGCGTCTACTGTGGATTCTGCTACTGCTAAAAGTAACGGGGATACTTCTACCAGGGCGAACAGCCGGGACAGCAGCAAGGACAGTGCAAAGGATCACAGTCGTGGTAGTAGCAAGGATGCCCGGAATAGCGTTGCAAATCAACAAGGTCTTTCCCCCGTGTCATCTTCTTCTGGAGGAGTTTCTCCAGCAGGCTCGCCGAAACCGCCACCTCGTCGACATTCTCCTATCACATCTCGGGATGCACGAACCGAGGATGCAAAAGGTTTTTTTTAAATAATAATTTTGTTATTTCATTGAGATGAAAGTATATTCAATTGATTTCACGTGTCGTTCACGGTTTCTTAGATGTGAAGAGGAGGTCGACAGATGTAACGCCGAAGGTTAGTACCTGGGTTTGCTGATACTCGAATGTAGAAGAGCGAGGTTCTCCTGAGGAATCAACTACCTCACGGACACTTGTGCAACTTATAAAAATCGCGCTGATGGTGGGAACTTCGAAAAAAAAAATAATACCGACCCGCAGAAGTCGAACGGGAAAGGAAGCGACTGACTGGGCGAGCATCCCAGCATTTTTTATTAATTTCCGCGATGAAGTTGTTCAAGTGAAGCTGGAGGCGTTCGTTTTGCGGACTGGGACGAAATTAGCCGGGCTCGAAATTCCATCATTTTCCGGACTCGCAATAGTACCCAGGCTCAGAAGGGTTCCTTCAGCCGAAGTTTGCGAAGCTCGACTTGATCGTTCGCGGTCGAGGTCAGAGGATACTTTTCCTTCTCCAATTTTCTCGCTTCCCACGCGTGTAAAAAGAATCCGTCAAGTGCGTCGCTCCGTTGTAAGTGGGTCCACGTGTCAACCTCCCGCCCGCGGCTCCTCGTCCCCGTACCATGTCATTTCCTATACACATCTGCTTTACTCACTTACTGTTGTGGTGAATCCACTTTGGCAACTACAGGGACCGGACAGAAGAGAAGACCCCCGGGATCGTCGAGAGAAAAAGCCGTCAAACGTAAATCTTGGCTCAGTGCCTTCGAAACGGGAAGACGTTGAGGACGGAGAATATGTATCTGCAGGCGGAGATGCTGGTCGTGGAATAAGGCGTAAGCCCGATCGGCCTTTGCGTGTGCCAGTCAGGGTACGAATAGAAGGCGCCTTATCTCTTTCGCACTTCAAAGTTTCATCAGAGTCCTACGTGATATGTCAACTGGTTTTACGCATTATTTTTTTCAGGGCTCCCGAGATGCACCAAGCCGATCAGGAGACCGAAAAAGAGGTCAGAGTCTTGTCTAAATAAGGGAAAATTATTTTCTTTAATTTCCTGAATTTGTATGTGATACTGAATTTAATCCATTTCCCGTTATTCTCTTTCTTAGTCGCAAAATTATCAATTAATTCTCAGTCCCCGTCAACTAAATAGGTTTTTTTTTCGTGCAATTTACTAAAATACTGCAAAATTGCAAGCGCGTATTCCGATTTCCGGAAGTACTCTAAAATAATATGTGTCTTTCGACCTCAGCAATTGTTAAACTCGTGGAAATATTTTCAGATCATTCTCCGGATCGATGGAGTTACCCCAGAAATGGCAGTCCGAATTTCAGAGAGGAATATAGTGATCATTCGTTCGGTCCATCAGAACGGGTAAGTTGATCCTTGAAATACGCTGTTCGGGTGACGTTCGGTACCAGCTTTCCCCTGAATACGAGCGACTTTTTAAATTTTTTAAGATATAGATTATGTTATGATTTTTACTGAACGGAAAAGATTTCCCTTACAAGGTTTTGTCTTTTTTTTTTTTTGGAATATCCCCGTAATTCCTTATTCAAGCCACAAAATTCGTTCGATTTTACATTTTTCTCTTATTGTGAACTACAGTATTCATTTGAAATGTCCGTCATTCGAAAAAAAGTTTGATTTTAAGTAGGGTTTTTGTAGTAGAGAATACATTGCAGTACTGTATTTAGATGCCGCAACATTTCTGGAGCTCTCATTTTAGTATTAAGTTATATTTTTAGGGTAAGTCTAAAGTTTATATACAACGGATGATTTCAAGACTGCGTGAATTGATGCATTTTGTTACTCAACGGATTTTTTTCCCCTTTACAGGATCGATCTCCAGTCCGCCATGCTGCCTCAATTGACACACGTGCAAGAAGATTGGATGACAGAATGTACCCAAGTTATAATCGTCGTTGATGTGATCTCGCAGAAACACTGCGTGACTGACACTGAACTTCCGAATTAATATTTGTGGACGAGACTTCTTCGCGTGATAATAGATGGGGTTCCTGTTGCTTGATTTCACTCCAATAATTTTACTCGATTGTACGCCGGTAAAGTTTGATTGCACGATTTTTTTTTGTGTTTTCACCACCTTGATAACAGTCGAGGCGAAAATGTCCAGATATGTAATTTTATTTAGGCAAGGGTTTGTATTGGATGTGTTCAAATTTAGAACGTAATTGGAAGTTTTCTGTACCTTTTAGTTTGAAACCGTGAAGGTCATGAATAATTACTAGGCTAGGTTTGATATGAGCTTTTGTCAGCTTGAAATCGACTACTGCTTGCGTTTATATGTCTTGAAAGATAAATCTTTTTTCATGCCGTGATTTTTGTATCATTTGATTTTACGAACAAGCATTCTTTCATGGTCATGGGAAGTAGGAATGGTATTCTGGGGCACGCTTTTAAAATGATAAGGTTTCATTTCAATTGTTCAGGTAATCGTCTTTAATGTACTGGACATACAAGTACACAATAATTGCCATCAAGAAAAATGATATTTTGCTGCATTGTAGAATAATTATGCGCTGGGTATAAGAAGCCTTCATTGATGTTGACTTTCTTCTGTTTCCGTTGGTAAGTGGTCTTTCCAGTTTCGAAACAAATACCTTGTAAATTTTTTCAGCTGCCGAAATTTGCAAAACGTTGCCCCTTGTGGAGCATCAAACTTCTGAGTTTGGATTAGAAAACCCTTGTCTTTGAAAGTTTCTTCCATTTTTCTTCTTAAACCAGGACGTCGTTTATTTTGACCACCATCCTGATTGAGATGCTGTGCGGAACAGCAATTTTGGTGAACAGCTGTGTGAGACCGAGTTTCTATGCGAGGTGACGGTAGAACGGTAACTTTTGCAGTGGATTCCATGACCTGATTTGACGTGTCCATTGCAATGAATTCGTGAACATTCGAGACTGCTTCTCCTGTGAACGTACCAACTTGCATTATCTGAGTGTTCCTGTTTCCGGATGAGTTTCCCGCTCCATTGACATTGTAAAAGTGAAACTTCCCGCCAGAATCCACGGAGAGCATCTTCTTTTTCTCCAGTGTCGGGCATGGCCCTCCAGTGAACTTGAACTTGCAAATGCTCACTTCTGCTTGCTTCTTTCTTGGCGCTGGTGTCGTTTGTTCTGGTGGATTCTGCAAAGCTTGAAAAAGCAGCGGAGTCTGTCGGCCGTGTTCCGTTCCTGAAGAAGTCTGCTTTTCAGAATGGTCTTCCGTGCTTAACTGGGTGATCATGCTGCCTCTGAAAAACATTTCTGGGGATGTTGTGATGGTTTCTGGAATGTGACTGGTAATTTTTGTATTGCTTGGTGTGGCTGGGAATATCCGACGAAGTGGAGGTGGCTCCCGTGCGCATGGTTTTGTGATTGGCGTAACTGAATAATTTTTGGCAATGAGGTGGCAAATATCTGCCTTCTTGGGTTTGCGTCCCCGGCGAGGACAATGGTCGAGTGTCATTTGTCCCATGAACGGCAAGCTTTTTGATGCGCTTGAATCCGGATTAGTGGCGATTGTGATGGTTTTGTGGTATCCCATTGTGAGCGGTTCAGGTTCTGGCGAGTCGCGACTGTAATAACGTGAGTGTAAATCTTCATCATCTTCATCGTTCAGGATTTCAAAGCGAGGCACTTTTCGTGGTGTCATCGTCGTGCGACGCTTACGCTTGATCCCTTGATCTTGAATGGTTGGATGTTGTTGAACACTGCTGCTGCGATAAAGGTTGGGTTTTTTTCACTTTCCTCAGAATATTTTCATGAGAATCCTTTGCGAAAAATTTCAAAATTCTTATCTGCTATAGAGTGGGAAACTTCTAAGATTCGCGAGGAGACATTTGGGGATGAATGATTTTACGTTTGTAGGAATAATCCCAATTTTCCAGCTACCAATTTTTGTGGGTAAAAAAAATTCCCTCATTCACTGCAGGATTGATTTTTAAACTGATTCAGTTCAACAGAATAAAAACGAAAAAAATCTGAGACGAGACGATTGAGCTTCTTCTATAACTTAAAAACATCATGAGTAGTTTCTGTAAATTTCCAAGCAATTTTTATTACTGACCTGCTGCTTGGGATGTTTTTGTACCAATCGTCGTGGTTGTAATGAGAAGTCGCTTTGTTATCATCGTCAGATAACTCCATTTTCACTTGTACCAATTGGATTGGCTCCCGATCTAAAAGATTGCCTGCGAAATGTGAGATGATTTCATAATTAGCACATTGCTGCATGAATGAACAATTAGCTGGCTCTCCATAATGTAGAATTTTAACCTGACGTTTATTAAGCTATGGAGAACTGCAATGAATTCATGACGTGGTTTTGTCATTTTAACCAAACCATGTTCCTTGAATCGAATTTACCCTAGTAGTAATTTGATTCTCCGTGATAATGCTCGAATGTCGGATAATCGAATGCTAAACAGGGATAATAGACTACATGTACTGTGCTTCAAATTCTATTAACTCGATAAGCAGATTGAAGGATGACCTGATATGCTTTTAACGCTCTCAAAAACCTTGAAGTACATTACCCCGGATAATTAGTCAATCAGAGGAATTGAGGAAACTAAATTTGCTGCCCTGTATTTATTTTCCATTCATCAACATTTCCGCATAGTTTATTAAAGCTTGTGTATTCGGGAGGTCTGCTGTGGCTACGACTTACGAACTTTATAAATAAAAAAATAATAATTACTGTATTATCAAAAATAATCTTCTACAAAAGAAATTCACAGACTTCAGGAGTGAAAGACGCTTTTTTTAGGCAGATGGAAGGATACTTACCAGTTTTGTTCATTTTTCTGCTGCCTGATATGGGGCGTTGAAAAAAAAAATCGTCACTTGTTTTCTTTGATGGGAAACGACATCAGCGAGAATGGGGATTCACAGAGCTTTTGGGGTTGTTCGCGGCGTGCTTCCGCGTTCACTGGCAGAAAAATTGCCCGTTTCGACCTGTGCCTTGAGCTGCCACAGCGAAAGCAGGAACACCTCAACCTTTGGAGACGCGTGCCAAAATGCTCTCGGAAGTCGACGGCGCGACGTCAGCAGAAAAAGAGCGAAATTCGCTTCCCACGACGGGAATGAAGCGACTACGGAGGACAGAGAATAACCCAGTCCAAGGGAGGAAATGAGAGCGTTTCGAATTTATTTTTTCTGTTTCTTCCTTTCGTTTCATATTACCAATGTCCGACGTGTGCACGCTCCTACGCAGGGGGTTGTGCGTTTCCCTGGGTTTCTTCCTTATTTTGCCGCCTTCGTTGCGTGCCAAAAACGCGCGAGGGGTTAGGGAGATCCCTCGCTTCTTCCGTGTGCACCGACTCCTCTCTGGCCTAAATTTAGTTTCATGCTTCGTAAAGGCTATACATCCGGATTCCCTCCTTGAAATCTTTGCCTTTTCTTCCGCCTAGATTCAGCTGAGCCTTTGAATGTCTTTTTTTTTTTTCAACGTCCTCTCGGCTGCGCTCACACATTCCGTATTTTCCCAGGAATGATACGTGTCGTTGATTATTTTTGCCGAAAAAGGCACTGGGCCTTACTAACAGGTTCTGTTCAACTGTACTGCGTTTCATGATTTCATTATTGAGCGCCCTTCCTTGCACTACCTGAATCCTTGGGGGCCTAAAATTCGTTCCATGGAGGATACTGTGCGAGACGATTAACGACTTGTTGGTCTTGCCAGAAATGTGGCTGGATGTGCTGCTCGAGAGAAAGGTTTGGGGGTTGGCAAAAATCCTTTTGTGTTGAAGGTTGAAGCGTAAATTCAAGTTGCTACTTTTTTCCAGTCACTTATTATCATTTCAACTCTTCCCGTGCATAATTTCTGGATTCGTTATTGCTCGCAGATTCTGAGGTAACGAACTCTTTTTGAAATAATGTACCTCCGTGTTTTATGCCGGGATTCTGAGAAAAATTTTGTTTTGAGGCTTTAAAATATTGTCTTTAAACTGGGATTGAAGGCTTCAATCAGCTTTTATTTATTGTCGTGCTCACTATAACCCATCATTTCAGTATCAAGTATTCTTTTAAAAAAATCAGGCGAATTCAATGCTGTTTTCTGCATCGTGTTACATGCAAATGGTTGATGCAAAAATATTGCATGAAGGATATTCTAGTCATAGGTTTTAATGGGTTCCTTATCCTTATAGGTGGACGATTCCAGTTTCGGGTAGGAAAATAATTATCTCGAAAATGCGTTTTGTTTCAAGTGCAATGGTCTGAAAGAAATTTGAAATTTTCAAGAATAGCGGATTTGAGCTCGACTTTGGCCAGAGTTATGTGCATGATGTATTACAGCGTCATGCAAGTTCTTCTAACTGTTCGTGGCCCTTTTTTTCAACTACCGCGTTCTATATATTGTAAATAGCGTACGAAGATTTTCAAGAACATTTCTTCGAAAGCAGCTTAGTTGTGTTAACTCAGGGTTCGAGATACTAGCTGTACAAATTTAGGTTCATTCAAATTTTTTCGAGTGTTCTGAAAACTTCCGGACAAAATGTAATCTTTTATTGTCACAGATCTTGCCGTGATACATCCAATGAAAATACAAACGATACATGTGTGTCAGCAAAAGCATTTAATCTCGATTAAAATCCGAATAATAATTTTTTTAATTTATGAAGTTTTTTCTGAAATATGTCCGAAAACAATTTCTGAAAAACACGTACAATTTTTGAATCAAGGGAATAAGTTGGGCATTAAGCATAGGGAACGAAAATTGGCATCATTCCAGCAAACGCTTGCCACCCGTAGAAAGGAAGTCAAAATATGTGAACTTTTCTAGGCAAATCCCGTGGAATTCATTCCTTACACATCAAGCGCACAATAAAGAAGAAAATCATTTTCCTAAGGATACCGCCGATTTCGCCCCTTTTTTTCTGGCGACAGCCCATGATTCCCTTGTCCAGTAAATTATGTTAGAACATTCATCTTCCTTTACCCAAAGCTGAAAATGTTTTGTGATCCAAATGTTGCAAGGATCCCTCCATACTCTCCTTTATCTTGTCTCGCCTTTAGCACACGTTTCGTAGTAACTGTACGCTACTTCCCAATACTGTACAGTTCTCTGTGTATATTTAATGAGCGAAAGAAATACGTCGGGGAGGGTCCCGTATTACTCCATTATTAAAGTTATATTCACACGTCGTAAATGTTCCTGTGTCAGCGGGGAATAAGTTTATTACACGCGGATTTGATGAGTTGTCCATGTTTTCTGGAACAGCTCTTGTTTTATTACGCAAAATTTCGCACTCACAGTCTGACGCGGTAACCCCTCACACAATGCGCGCTTTTTCTCACGAAACGCGGTCCTCGCGGTTGCAGTAACAAAAGAACGACATTCAAATGCGGGGAGAAACCAAACCGGCATCAATTCCTGGGAAAAAGCTCCTTGTCAATTTGTGAACCGAAGGTAACACTCTAATGTTCTCGTCTTCCATGATTTGCACCAAACTCACCGAATAAAAAGGAAAATTATGAATCATGTGCAACGGATTTCCCGCCATCTTTCCGATGCCAAGAACTGCATGAAGCAGAGCGACTTTGTGGCGTTGTTCGCATCAGCGTTTGCGCTTAACGTTCGGTGGGGATCGTTGCTAACGTCGAGAACTTTTCATGACTCGTACAAAACGAACCAGCATTCAAACATTGACTAGCATTCAACCTCTTTTTTTTTTGGATGTCGAGTTCAAAAGTTGCGACGAAGCAAATACATACGCAATAGCTCCGACAACTTTTCAAAGACGAAAGAGAATCACTGAAATTGGCAGTGAATGTTACATGACGTAGTGTCACGCCACTCAAGAATTTCATAGACGTATCAAAAGATGAAGTACATGAGGAATGGACGCTTTTGAAAAAGCTTTCAAATGTTTCTCTCATTCGGCAAAAATTGGCACAGGCTGCATGCCGCTAGTTTTACTGATCATGGAAGAGTTACGAAACTTGGCAGTATTCGTTTCAGATGTAGCTGGATTCATGCTTCAAATTTGAAAAACAAAATTACAGAAGCGATGAATGATTCTTCGACGACAGAATTGAGAAAACGAAATGACTTCAATTCGCACGTGGATACGAGGTTAATCACTTTCCAGGAGTTTTCCGGATTTCGGTCTAACAGCTTCCTGGTCACTCTTATCGAGAAGCGAGACCTTCTCGTCTTCTGTTCCGGGTCCAGAAGCAGGAACAGCCGAAGGCAAGAAAACGTCTTCGTCCTCTTCGCCTTCGTAAACATCGAACACGGCCTTAGGGCACTTGTTGTTCTGCCAAGATGACGACTCGGACGGTCGCACTTGACTCTCGGAAGTGGAATGTTGTATGCTGATGCAGCTGGAAACTGCCTTCATCCGGGGAGAGGACGCGGCCGGTTTCTGAATGCTCTTTCTCGGCACTTTTCGGCAGAGCTCGTTTTCAGACGAGCACTTGGTTCTTAGCTTCACCTGGTGAGTAAAACTCATGTTTATGAAGGAACAGCCGAAATCTCTGTTAGAATGCACTTGGATATTTCTAGATATGAAATGCAGTAATTAAATGAAATCCGCTTCATTGACTTCAACATTCTTATTTCCGTAAGGCCAGAGGCACTCGGAATTTTTAAAATCTCGGCACACGCATGAAAGGAATAAATCCAGAGCGAATCAAAATTTGACTTTTGGTATATATTTTTCGCAGTATATAACTTTTTGAAAACCTGAAAACGTTCTGTGAAAAAACAAAAATTTCTCCAATCAATGAAATTTTCAAGCTTTCCCATATCGAATGGTATCTTCTCAAAAAAATAGCTCAATAATGTTCTAGTATTGGGAAAGGCGGGAAAGCATTTGACATCCCAGAACTACGAGGATTTATGGATTTTTCAATTTTAGTCTTCGCGAGACTTCCAGAAATGGAACTGATTTTCTTGTGTATGCTGAGACCTATGCTCCAAAATCAAAAGAAGGTAAATTATCTTGTTAGGTTTGTGACAGAAAATGCCGGCTTCAATTTGTTTTCGAAAATGAGCCCTTGTATTCCAAATCACAGAACTTGTGCTCCAACGGAAATAGGACTCTTGGAATAACGTTAGCTCGACCAGAAAAACACTTTGAGAAGGACGAGAATGGGATTTTTCTTTTATGAGAAAAATTACAGTAGCCTTTGATTTTTGTGACAGCTGTACTTAGTCTACATGAAATTTACCGAATGCCTCCGCGATCTTACGCAACATCTGGCAATATTTTTAAAATCTTGCCTGAAGAATGCGAATAGCAAGTACAGTAGTTGTAGATTCCATATCTGGTTTAAATTTATACCTTTGGCAAAGCTGCGAGCCACGCTGCGGTTTCCGGAGGAACGAGGCAGTCACAACTACAAGTTCGTTTCCCAGCAGCTGCCACATCTTGAGGAGTTGATGATTGTGCCTCCTGAGAAGAATTAGGGCTGGACGTGTCGATGCTGGATTGTGCCTGTTGATTCTCCTCCAAAGTTGGGGACGTTGAGAAGTTGTTGAGCTCTTTTTGGGCGTTCGATGCGTTGCTCCTTTGGGATATTGATGAGATCGTGCTCAACTTGCGGGGGCCTACATTAGCGGTGGGCGCGTTGTTGATGTGTGTTTGTGCCGGCATTAGTTGAAAACGATTCGAAGGTTTATTGTCCAGCGAACCTGTAAAGAGGATAATTTTTAATTAAGGCTAGTTACAGCTAGAGCAAATTCTTTTTTTTTTTCAACTGCGCGAGTGGAAAGTTGAGCGCGATTCGAAAGGGGCGCAATTCTTGTTCAAAAGTCTCCGAATGAGAAGGAACCCTAATTTACAACAGCCCTCAGGCAATGTTGCAGTTTGATGAGGCTACGTTAGTAATTTTGGAGCATCAATTCATTGGCGTGCGCAATGACAGGAACAAAAATTAAGAAATAGCGGCGTTTTCGGTGAGTAGTCGCTGTTTTTGTGACGCTCTCGAGAGTCTCAGCTCACTTAAATTTTTGTTATGCTTGTACAGGTGGACTCATCTCTCCACCGAAATTCAAGGGACAAAAAATTCGTCGGAGAGAGACTTTTGATGCAGAGAATCCCTATAACACGGGCAAAAAACCTTCCGGTACGATACAAAATTTTTTTGTGCACAGATAGTCGTTGTATACAAGATCTTTGTAAAGAGAGTCCACTTGTAATAATCAGTGAATCTGCAGAGAAAGTTCACTCTTCAATAATGCATTCTACTTTACCTAATTTATCTTTTATTTTTCCCTGTTCTTCATCTCCTTCGTCTTCGTCCTCAGAATCATCGGATTTGCTGTCATCGTCTCCATTCGCTTCATCCTCTTCATCAGCCTCGTGACTCGACTCGATCAGGTCTTCGAAATGTCGAGGATGCAATCGCTCGCCATGGATGGGGCAGCAAAAGACGACGGAACCGCTGCCCTGAGGGTCAAATGAAACCCCGCGTTGTTCTTCCTGGTCTTGAATTGCAACTTGACGTTTTAGTCGAGGTTTCCCTCGGAAACTGTCGTGCTGTGCTGGCCAAGAGCCGGAGGAGCTGGTGGATGGACCGTCCAATGATAGTTGAGCGCCTTGCTTGAGGATCGGTCGTGGAACTGCTGTTCCTGGGGAGCTCTTCAACATGCCAGTGGATGATTGTTTTACGAGTTGAGACGGGAACGATGGCTTCCCTTCGAGTGCCTGTTTGTACCTCAAGCTTCCCATTCGAGATGCTGGAGCAACAACAAAATTACGCATAAAAATGATTTTTGAATGCTCACACGGCCGCAAAGAAAATAACAAACTTTGGCAAATAAATATGGACTACGTCCGCATGAATCAAATATGTTTTCATTTTAAATTCTATTTTATTTTTATCGGTATGAAATTGTTAACAATGGGTTGAAGTGCATAAGAGGAAGGCCTGTCATGAGTTCAAAACTTTTTTCATTGTGAAGAATGAACTATTGCCTGACATAAACCTGAATCCGAAATCAAGATCCACTATGCTTTCAAAAGAAAATACTAGCAAGCATTTTTTCCGAATCGCTGTACAGGGGTAAACTCTTGTGCCAGCAACATATTCACACAGCCCAGTGCTGGTCCACGAAACATGGGAGGCGGAAAACCACGATTTAAATTAATTATAGACTTTTCGAGCATTAGACGAGCTACTTCTGGTAAATCAATTTGTAGATTTTCGATAAGTCATTTTTTAAGCTGTGCATATTTTTATAGAAACCTGTATTTGAAGAAAAAGGTGGAAGATTAACCTGGTAAGTGATGGAGCTCAGAAGCTCGTCTATCTTTAAAGCTTCCCAGGGGTCCGCGGTGACTTGTGCCATGACTGGTGTCACTCGACACGCTGGATCGGGAAATTCTCCAGGTCGCCGTGCTGTTGCTGGCAGCTGATGAGTCATTCCGAGAATTGGACAAGTTCGAGTCTTGAGAACCTCTCCTGGTGTTGTACGTCCATGAATTCCGACGACGATTCATCATCCGCAATGGAATAGCCGTGCAGTTGGCATGACGCATGGAATCCGAGCGAGAGGAGCTGAAGTTATCGGACGAGACGGAGTGATTTCGGGCAGTTTTCTGGTTCGTCTTTTGCGGCATTTCGGCTATTTGGTAAGTGTAGTTGGAGGAGTCGACGGATTCCAAAGGCTCGGGGATCTTTTGTGTGAACAGAGCCTGGATTCTGTTCCACCAGTGGGTCCTCTGCGTTTTCCTGCTTCGCCTGCGAGAAATGTGGAATAAGTAACGTATAGCTTTGTCCTGAAGAATTGTTGAAGTATAGTACTGTACTACAGTATATGTCCTGCGTGCTGCGAGGTACTGAAAAACTTCGGTTTTTCAGTGCTGATTATCTTTGCCTGGATTTCGATCGATTCAGAAGTAACTATTGATCCGTCTGGATCGTGATTCATCGCATGCGGAAGAACTCCATAAATTTGCGTTCATCTATCGTGATTATTCGAACTCGTCATCGGCCCGGGAATTTTCATGTTCCTCGGAGCATACGAAGGTTGTCCCAGTTGGACGTGACCTCTGATACTCTAGAGTGAATTTGATTGTAAAAATCTATCATAGCATAGCCCATAAAATTCTAAGGCTCTGGATTTTTTCTGGATTTTTAAACAAGTTTTTAAATTTATTGAACGATAAGCAAGAACTTTCCGGTTACATCCACGGTTCTCCACCCGTATCACAGGTGGAGATGAATTTTGTTTTTAACCATTATCTAAAACGTTAAAAATGGGTAAAAGTAAAATAAAGAATAAATTCAAATTTTCAGCTGGCCTGACAAATTTCAACCACCCTCTGTGATACGGGTGCTGGATAGAACTCTGGTAGTGTAGTAACTTAAATTTTATATACCTCATGTTCATGCAATAAATTGAAAAGCTTTTTTTTAAATCAAAAAACCCAGAACCTTAGATGGCTTAGAATATCATGGGCCATGTCATGATTTTTTTTTTAAATCGCACCTACTCTAAAAAAAATCATAGGTCGCATCTAACCGGGACAACCCTCAATGTGACTGTCCTCAATACTTCACCCAAGGTTTTAGCCTTTTTAGGGTCAAGCAAAATTTGCATTTGAGTTTCCGGTAGCAAAATATTGCAACTTCGTGATAATCGTGAATGATTGGTGACGAACGTGCGAATCCAAATCGGCGAACAATCACAGCAAAATGGATTTAAAATCGGATTTCAAAAAGGCGATAAAATCTTACGTACACCAGTCATAATTAGCAGTATACACTCACCTCAGATTCTCAAGGCATGCAGCAGTGTGAGGTTTCTTCTTGCACAAGCACGGATCCTTGGGGATCGGTTGATTCGAGTTTCTGTCTCCTGTGGAATTCGTGTTTGCGGGTGTGTGCCGATTGGAGAAATTGGAGCTGTGCCTGCACCTGCCAATGCCTCTAGTGACTCGGCTCTCTTCAATCGCCTTGCAGATCAACACACAGTCTTTCTTGAACTGCTTCGTCATAATGGCGTACAGGAACGGATTCCAACATGAATTCAGCGGCAGTACAAAAACTGTGAACACTTTCGCACCCTCCAGCGAGATCAAGTGCAGCCCGAAGGCGGCCGTGAGCGAGAAGAAAGCAATCGGCGCCCAGCAGCTGAAATCCGTGAACACAAGCAGCGCCATTCGTTTCGCAATCCGCGAGTCGTTCGAGTTCCACGCCTGAGAACCGCGAATAGCACAATACATCTTCAGGTAGCATCCCATGAGGATGACAAAAGCTACGCCGTTGATGAACATGAGGAACACCACGTATCCCAAACTCGCGCCGTCGTTTGTTTCAAACGGCAGACAAACGGCGAATTTGCGATAATCGGAAATGCCCGTGAGGGGTAACATTGCCATGATGAGCGCAAATGTCCAACCGCAGATCATGATGTATGAGGCGTGTCGGAGGGATAGGCGCTTGTTCAGGTGCATGGCGTGTGTGATGGCGTAGTTTCTCTCTAATGTGATAACTGCCAGCGTGTAGACGGAAAGCTCCGAACTCAGGACGCCCATGAAACCCGCCACTTGGCATGCAGGTGACATCTGCCAGGGTATCGCATATCTTCGGAATTCGCCGAGTGTCATCGCGTCGACGACCGCCAAGAATCCTGCGAATGAGGTATTGTAATACGTTATTATATGCTCTATCTCACTCTGAAAAAAAAGTCTGTCCTGATAATATCAGACAAGCCACTTGTACTATGCAAGGTACTGTATAGTCAGGGTAAAAAAATGTTCAAATTGGTCTTCCAAATTTTAAAGTTTTTAAGTCAGTGAGTCCCTTACTCCCGCATAATAAACGGAACGTGCCAGAAAAAATTCGGAACACAAAATATAGTTGTGGGGCAAAAGTTACTAATACTGCAGAGTATAATGAAAATGCCTCAAATATCAAAATTTTGTCCAAAACAACAATGAAATCGTCGGAAGTCGTGGGATTGCGTGGACTCGGTAATTTTTTTAATGAGAAAAATGCAAGAGGCATCGCTTTGCCTTTTCTTATCTTTCAAAATTCATGAAATATAGAAAATTCAGCGCACAAGCTTGCCGGGATAACTCGAATTTAATCCTGATTATTTGTAAGTTCACGGTTTTATGTATGTAAACTAAGAAAAAAGACTACCTTTTTGAGGTTTATCATAGTTTTTTCTCGAGTGTTTGGAACTCTTATTGAATCATTTGTAATTTATCATTTAATCCTTATATGAAAATTCGATTCGAAATTTGAAAATTCCGCATCCAGAAACGGATCTGTTACATTATGAGGGGACCCACTATACAGTACAAGGAAAATTATCTATGATATGAAATCGCATATTGTTCTATAGAATAAGTAAATACGGAAGATAGGCGGTCTCCAAAAAAACAGAACAGAAGAGAGTTATTCTCAACAGAAACTCGGCAAGAATGGTATGCCAATTGTATATATAAGGAGTTTTCCCGTATAAAGTATAGTGAATTCGTTTTGGCATGTATTTGTGAGAATACATATACTTATACCCAAGAAGCTATAAACGGATCCCGCATAATTATTTAGGAATATAGTCGAACATTTCTTGGTACCTCATTCCTCGCGCGGGACTTTCAACATTCTAGGAGCGACCTCTCATCGTCCCGTCTAGACATGAAGCATCTTATGGGGGTACAAACCGAGATAGACGCCCATGAAGAAGTCAGCAGCGGCTAGATTGCAAACCAGAAAACGGGGAACGTCCATCTTGGATCTTGCGAGGATCAAGACAGACACGACCGCGCCATTGCCGAGAAGTGCCAAGAGAAAAACAATCCAAACCCCGCATCGTAAAGCCCACCAATCGAACAAATCCTGACATGGCATGAAGGGGCCTGTAAAAGAGAGAGTTTGAGAACGTCACGGATTTTTTTTTTTTCTGCACAGTGATGGCAAGATTTTATGACGCTATGCATTTTGCAATAAATACAAAGATCTTGAGGACGTACCTGGCCTTGGAATGCATTGAATCGCGGGTTTGTGATGCGCGTTGATAAAAGTCTCAGAATTCCCCGACTGCTGGTCGAGGTACTCAATGTATGACGGGAAATTGCTGGGGTAACCTTCGCCGAAATTTTCTAGGAATTCTCCGGCAAAATCGCCGAACTTCTCCGAAATATTTTCTGCAAAAAATCAATCAGAAGCATCAGTTTTTTGCATTCCTGCGATATTTCGAAGTTTGATTCGATTCTAGAATCTCTTTGAGCAGTTATTTTCATTTTTTTTCAAATCGGCTAATTTTTTGGACTGTTTCGGAAGAAGAATCATGTGATGCAGTTGAATGCTGCAGGCTACTTATTCATCTAAGGCACATTTTCTCCACTTGTTTTGTTTCCAAAAAGGTCACCGGCTCAAAAAGGGTCACCACAATATTACATCATTTTTGTGGTTTTGCAGTCGATTCGTATATACAGTATTGCTACAAAAATCAGTCCCAAACAACTTCAAATCTTTAGCCATTTTACGAAAAATGTGTTCCTGAGATCAGAGCTCCTCAGTATTTGCATAAATAAATACTGTATCAGCAATTTTGTGCCGGTACTGTAAGTCAGATAAACTTTCCCTACTTTCCAGAGGACTCTTCTTGAAAATACTTTGTTTGAGAAATGTCTGTAGTCTCATGTCCTGTGGCAGCTCGAAATGTATGCAGTAAACATACAGTAATCTTTATATCGGAATCGTGTGTATTCCGAACCTTTTTTTATTTTTATGCTGAATACAGACGACACGTAATTTAATTTACTGAAAAAACTGCTTTCTCTTACATGAAATTATTTCATTCTTAATTTTATTAAAAAATACAGAATTGAAAGATTACCGTAGAGACCCGGCCAGAAGTCGGACACGTTCATGTTCCACAAGCTTTCGTCGAATTTATCACCCTTCTCAGGAATAAACCAGGACTCTTGCAATTGGTTGAAGAACGTCGACTCTGTTGTGACGTCGATGCCGCCGAATGGCGGAGCTTCGGGCAGGAATTGGCAACAATGATAGGCGTAAGATAATGCCAACGTGTGGACCTTTGGAAAGCTTTCTGGCGGTGGGAATTCGCGCAGTTCCGGAATATTGTGCACTTTCAAGTGCCGAACGGATTGCAGTCCGTTCTCCGGAAGAGTAGGGAAGCGATTTTTCCCCAAGTTTCTGAAGGAAATAACAATTTCAACAAAAATTAGCGTCCAACGCAGCTTGCCTACACAATCAAATGGATTAATATTCGTAATTCCAGCGCAGTGCATTGGGAAAAAAGAAACTTACAAATCCTGAAGATCCGTGAGCGGGAGGAAAGTGTCCGGATGAATGTCTTCAATCAAATTGTCACTCAGGTCCCTTCGTTCATGAAGAAAGAAAAGAAAACGGAGAAAAAATGCTCATGTATCGTGGCTAGCTTTTCAGACTGTTTTCGGAAGAAGAATAATATGATGCAGTTGAATGCTTCAGGCTACGTATTCATCCAAGGCTATTTTATTTTATTTTTCCTCTTGTTCTGTTGCCATAAAAAAATTTCCTGTACGGACGTTTACCCTCGACTTTGAAAAATAAGGCCACAAAAATAGCTACGTGACTGAGATGAAATTTCAGCCGTGAAAAATTTCCCACAAACATTATTGTCTCGGATTCTACTACGATTACGATCTTCCGCCAAGGAGTAAAACTTACAGGATTTGTAGCTGAGATAATCCTATGAATGCCTCGGGCACAAGTTTCACAATTTTGTTCCCTTGAAGCAGCAAATCGCTCAGCTGTGTCAGAGTCTTGAAAGGCATTTCATCTAGACTCGTGATGTGGTTATGTTCCAAGTGCCTGAAAAATGTTCCCAGAATAAAAGGCAATTTTAATTTCGTTGCTTCGCAATAATTTGAAGCGGCTACATAGTTCTCTCTTTTTTTTTTTAATCGCGCTGTCAGTATCGCAATGTGAACAATTTGACTGGGTAAATTTAAAATTTCTTCGCTGTTTCCAGTAAATATAACTCCAGTTCTGGTTCGAAAATAATGCTAGATGAAAATAATGCCAGACGAGACATAATAATTAAAATTCTCTGGATTTCCCAGAAAAATCAAGATTATTTTTCGAACCAAAATCTTGAAAGCAAGCTTGACTTTGGTTGAAATGAACCTTCAATTGGATTGCTTCCAAATGACGCATATGATTTAAACAATATTTTAAAACTGCCTTTATTTTAAACAATTGTGGATTTGACGTGGAATGATAAAATTAAATTCGGGTCCTTTGAAGTGGTATAGTTCGTCTAGGTCTGTGCATCCATAAGTAATCGAAATATTTTCCCCATACATTAGGAAGAAAAGTCAACAAGCTTGGGGATTTAAAAATTTTGCCCTCATTATTAAAAGAAGACCAAAGAAGGAAGAATAAAATTTTCCTGGCTCTGATTGAGGAAATATTTTTTGTACTACATAGTTGGATGCTTGTGAAAAGGAGAGCTCAATCTCTACAGTTGAATATTTTTATAAGAAATTATTTCGTAGGACGAATCCTTTTTTAGGTCCCTGAAAAATTCCACGCGATTTGAATTCATTTATGACTAATTGTCTCCTGAGAAAGCTTTCTTCCTGGCCCAAAAATGGCTTTGCTATTTTATGAGATTTCATAGTACAGTAATATTTATACGTGAAAATTAAAATCATTCGAGTTCTCATTTTCAAAAATACTGATTTTCGGATTATCCGATGCACGATTACCAAAAAAACGCGAATTCGCTCGAATATTTTCCCGGTCTCCATCAATTCAAGAATAAATTTCATGGGGGGGGGGGGGGTACTCACAGAAACTTCAGCTTGGTGCAGTTCTTCAAGTCCGGCAACTCCTCGAGCTCATTTGATTTCAAGTCCCTGATTCCACAGGAAAAGAAAGAAGATTGAGTCAGCCAAGAAGCGCCATTAGACTTTCGACCTAATTTGAAGCAGCGACTTTGAAATGCAAATGTTCTGGAACTTACAGAGCTTTGAGCTGGGGAGTGAAGTCGCAGAGCTGCGGAGGCACTCGTGTGATGGACGCTCTGTCAACCGTTAGTATTTCCAGAGACGAAGTTCCATTCAAGTCCGGAAATTCCCGCAAGTCTCGGATGTCCGATATTATCCTATTCCGGATGAGAATGATAAACATTTTCGCTTTGAGATTTTTTTTTTACTGCATGGAGAAAATTTGGGTCCATAGTCTGCAGAGTTTCCTACGCCCTCGCTTCCCTCATTTCATGCGTTCGAATAACCAAATGAAACTTTTCGGGGAGAAAAAAAATATTCAGAAAAAACTGGAGTTCTTACTAGTTCAGTATGCGTTTTTTCAATGATCTCTTATGAGTGAGTACACAGCATTAATATAATAAAATCAAGTTTAAAGTGGAAGTTTCTAAAATGTAACTTCACTGCAATGGCAGTCTTCCAAAGATTGCTATTTGCCATTCATGCCGGTTAATGTTATACATCAGCGTTTATAAATTTTCAAGTATAGGCATAACTACAGAATGCATTAAAAACGCATTCCCAATGCATTGCAGAAGAATGTTTCAGTACACCACAAAGAAAAAGGAAAAAAAGAAGGCATAACAGAAGAAGCTGGGTATGCATAACAAATGCGTTACGTAATGCGTAGCAGTTACACCCAGCCCTTCCCGTAACAAATTATTTGCTGGGTATGCTGGGAGATGAAGACAATGGTAATTTTCTCCGATTTTATCAATTTTCCATAACGATAACTGGATTGAGCGTTGACTTTTTTTTTCCACCGATAAGAACTCGCCTACGGACAAACAGCTGAATTTGGCAGGAAATCATTAAAACCCAGATGATAACCCAGAGAACACTCGATCAAAGGTTTTCCTCTTTGTGATGAGAGAGAATACCTTATAACTCAATTCGTATTTGCTTTGGAAGTACTGTATTAAAAAAACTTGTTGCTTGTATTCATAGTCGGTTATTATAGCATTATCTCCGCGGATTATTTTCTATTCTGTCAAGAAATTCAAAAAATAAAACGCCTGGAAGGTCAACACATAAATACACATGTGTATTTAATTTAGCTGCATATTCATTCATTTGATGAGATGTTTTCCGCTTCTGCGACTCGAGAACACTTCGCAAATATGATATCGCCTCGAAACAACAACGAATCTGTTTATTTTTAGCCTAGCACAGCAGTTCCTTCCCCGACTCAGAAAGCAAATCGGGTTTGTGTTCGTCTCGAGGGAAGCAAAATCGTGAGGAAGAACACGAAGCAAAAAAAAAAAAAAAAAAAAAAAAAATCGCAGATC